CCCTACCATGATGCACTGCGACCCATTCTGCCTTCCCACACCACCTAGCTGCAGAAGGTGGTGAGTTGCACAGTGCACTGCTCTCTCTGTCGATGCTAGAGCACCAACTGTGGACGTGCTCTGCTGAGAGAAGGAGCGTTATGAGAACATGTACAAGCAATGTAATTATACCAGGTTTTAATCATCGGCATAACTTTTGTCGACAAAACCCTTAGGGTACGCCTATACTACCCGCCGCATCGGCGGGTACTGTTCAACGTATCAGGGATCGATTTATCGTGTCTCATCTGGACGCGAAAAATCGATCCGCTAATCGACACCCGTACTCCACCTCGGCAGGAAGAGTAAGCGGCGTCGATGGGGGAGCCGCAGCAGTCAACTTGCTGCCGTGAGGACGGCCAGGTAAGTCGAACTAAGATACTTCGACTTCAGCTATGCGAATAGCATAGCTGAAGTTGCATATCTTAGTTCGAACCCCCCCGCTAGTGTAGCCCAGGCCTTAGTGTAGATGAGGCCTGAGAAAGTCCTTTCACTCAATGTTCTTATCTCCAGCAACCTTGCTGATTAAACAAAAGGCACAGTCCAAGAGTTTTATTACCTAAGTAAACTCCATGTACACACCCAGAGAAGAAAAGAATCACTCTTCACCCATGTTCCCACATCCTCATGTCCCAGAAAAAACAAATCAATATTTGAACATAAAAACAATGCCAGGTTTTTAATATTGCTGTTGTTGCTTTTCACTAAGTTCCCACAAATATTTCCTAATGGATTTCAACTCTGATTCTAGACAGTTCGGTATTATTTGCAAACACCAAGCCTTCCTACCCCATGCCCACATTACAGCACTTTTAAACACCAAACACATTCATTATGCACACAAACGTCTCAACTAAAGCATTCCCACCCACTTATTAAATAAAAACATATCTCAGTACTTTCCGACAGTCGGGAAGGTTACTCATGCTACAGCCAAACAGCAGCTAAACCACTCCCTTCCCCAAACTGGCACTCTCGTGGCAGCAACACACCGTGGTCAGCTCTCTGCTACTTGTTGAGGAAATGGAATCCATTCATATTCTTAAGACTTGGGGTCCTGCAACAGCCAACCACCCCTAAGCCAGCCCAGCACCACTTTCCCAAAGGAAAAACAAACAGCAAGCATAGCTCAAAACCAAAAGGGTGTATACTCTGGCACCTGAGAAATTAGAAAAGAACTGTACTTAGAGGGCAACGCCATTACAGGGACAGAATCAAAATTATCTAACAAGGTGCCTGTCGCAATGTTGTCTGGACACAATTTACAAGACTTTCACTTGGTCATTAGAATTTCCAAAGAAGACAGAACAGGGAGAGGCCTCATTAATCAGATCTGAACCCAGAATTTCATAGTTCAGTCTCATGAAATAAGCCGCGAATAAATGCATCTTACAACTTTCTGTATGTACTCAAGTGCATGCTTAAATGGACTTTTGTCTCTCCGAAGAACATAAAAAGATAAGAGCTGTCATACTCAGTCAGACCATGGTCCAGCTTGCCCAGTATCCTGTCTCTGACAGTGGCCAGTACCAGAGCTTCAGGGGGAGAGAACAGAACAGGGCAATCATGGAGTGATCCACCCATCTTCCACTCCCAGCTTCTGGTAGTCCGAGGATTAGGGTCGTCCTGAACATGGGGTTGTGTCCCTGACCACCTTGGCTAACAGCCATCGATGGACCTAATCTCCGTGAACATATTCAGTTCTTTTTCAAACCCTACCCATTATGCTTCCAGCCATTCAAAATACTATGATACTACTAAATACTCAGTTTCTTGTGTAAAAACATCCTATGAAGAGGACTGTAAGGTTCATCATAGTAAATATGGGGAAATTTGCTAAACAAAGTTTCCAGTGCAATTTATTTCAGCCTTTAGAGACCAATTTTACTGGCCTCCCCCCATTCCATTCTGGCAGATTCCTTGGTAGCTTACCCTCTCTCCTCCTACATAGATCTTATCAGCATAGAATTCTTTTATTCACATACTCTCCCAAACATTATCTTAGAATTTGCAGACACTCTTACCACCTCTCTTTCATTACCTGGTGATTGTTCTGTACTACCCTCATGATATAGTGCTAAAGGCTTCCTATGAGTTTACTGGTCTGGTACAGCATCTCCGTGCTCCCTTAGTCTGTAACAACCTTCACCATACAGCCCTGCAGGCAGTTCTCTGAGGCTGGGCCTAGCCTAGAATTTTTTCCCTAAGAAACACCTTCCATTGCACCTTCACCAGTGGCAGCAGTAGCAAGAGCTCGAGCAGAGACAAGGTACTGGTTGGTCACCAGCATTTTAACACTATGTCATGGAAATCTGACATGAAGATAAAAGTGTCAGTAACCACCAGCATTTTTTTTTTTAAACGACACCAAAACTCCCCCTATTGGGAGAGGTGGAGCGATAAGCAAAGGGGTAACTTAAGGAGACTAGTGTAGAAAAGGCCTTAAACTGATGAAAAATGACATGTATTTCCTTCCAGGTTTGGTGTCGATGCTAAGAACAAGTTTATTCAGCTGACAAATAAAAAGATGCACTAAAAACTCAAACTGAGATCTGAAAATCTATCTGCAATCTTAAATAATAATAGGTCCAATCCTGCCAGGTGATGAGCCCACCCTATCTCCGCTGGCCTCAACAGAAGCTGAAGGTAATTAGCACCTCTACAGAACCAGAAGCATAGATTCTGGGATCAGATCTTAGCTGCCAATTTTGTTGACAACATGCAAGGCAGTACAAAATCTATCTGGCTCTCCTGGGACTATGGTTTGCAAGTGGAAATAAATCGTTTTTTCTCACTGACTTATACCAGCCAACGGTCTGGCCTTCAATGTTGAGCCAGGCTCACTTCCTTTTAAAACAAAAACAAACAAACAAAATTGAGCCTGAATCCATGCTTCTTATGACAGCCACATCTAATCTGTATGCTCAATGGTAAAATTTGTTTCATTTTTTTCATCATGTGACAATGTCATTTGCTGAATCACAGGCTTTACGTCCAAGCTTTCCCATAACCAGAATGGCTGTTCAAAGTGGAACCAACTTACTGAAAAGGCAAAATTTTCCAATTACATAGGGTGGAGAGGGTTTTTGTTTGTTTGTTTTGAGGTGTTTATTTTAGATCTAACTGCAAAGGCCCAGTAGAATGGAGGTAAGATAAAACAGCAAAAAATTATTTGCTTTTGTTGTAAGATACACAGTGAAACATCTTGTGTGATCACCATAAGACTGGAAAAGTCAGCCAAATACAGACTGCACTGCACTGAATGCTTAGAGATACTTTTAAGTAAAGTGATCACTTAAGTCAGTTTTCCTGTTGTTGGAGGGGCCTCACTGTGCAGGTTTTACAGTACTGCTAGGTAGACTATAAGGTCTAATGACAGTATAAAAACACTAACCTTCACTGTAGTGTATTAAGTCGTATCAGAAATGGTTGGAATACAAGACAGCACTCAAACAAGCCCTCCTTACTGAAGATTAGAGTAGAGAGTTGGGAGGGGATCTTTGTCCAATACCCATCAGCCACTGAGATGGTCCCAACAATTAAAGTGTACTGTCTAATAGTTAAAGCAAAGAACTTTGAGTCAGGACTCCTGGGTTCTATTTGTGGCTGCCGCTGACTGGCAGCGTGACCTTGGACAAGTCATTAAGCCATTCCGTGCCTCAGTTTCCCCATTTACAAAAGGGGGGCTAATATTTTTCTAATTGCGAGGACATGCAGGTATAGCTTTAATTGTTGTCTGTAAAGTGCTTTGAAATGCGAAGATGAAAGGGATCACAGAAGCATGAAATATTATTCAAATACTTTTCAAAGTCAAGTGGAGGAGGATTCTCAGGGGACTTCTCACAAGAGCAAGATCTTATTTGAATGATCAGCTATGCTTGGGAAAGGCTCACAACCAACCCAGGGAAAACTGTGCTAAAGACTCGTCCCTACCACTGTAAAGCCCCATCAAGGTTTCCAATGCAAGTTACTTCCACCTTTGCAGACCCAACTCTGGTGGGTGACTGATCCCTTCAGAAGGGGGCCACTCTCCCTATCGCCCAACATACCAGCGTGACTCCAGACGGGACCCCACACCGCCCCAGCGAAGCGGGGATTCCCAGAGAAAAGACCCCGACGCCCCTCGGGGCTTGTTATCTGCCCCACGGGCGCCCCGGCACCGCACGGGGGGTCGCTGCTGCTCCCCTACGGACCCGAGGGGGCGATCGCGCCGCGGGGAAGGGGCGTGTCGGGCGGGAGAGGGGCGCCCCCTCCCCGTATGCGCGGGGCCCGTCCCCGCCGAGCCACGCAGGCAGCCCTGCCCACCGCAGCGGAGGGCCGCGGCCGCAGCTCTACGAGGCCCCCAGGCCGAAGGGGTCGAGCGCGGCGGCCCTGAAGCTCCCGACCCTGCTCACCTGCCCCGGCCCCGGGGCCGCTAGCGAGCGCCCAGCGCGCCGCTCCCGGAAAGGTGCCACCCGGCGCCCCGTACTCACCCCGGCCGGCGCCCGCGCGCCATCCCCGGCCGGCGCTGCCAATGCCAACAGCCCCGCGAATCCTCCAACATGGTGGCGCCCGGCGCCGCAACCAATAGGGCCGCCTCATCCGCCACCACCGACCAATGGGGCCGCACCTTTCCCCGCTCCCACACCGAAAGGACCAGAGGGGCTCCCGAATAGGGCAGCGCTTTTAACACGCCAGCCAATGGGACCGGCTCGTTGACCTCCACCCACTCCCACAACTATTCCCTGACAGCCAATAGGAGCGTGCCTAATTTAACTCCCTCCGCCCCAGCCAGAGCCTCTGTCTAAGCCCCACCCAATTAACCCTTCCCTGCTTGAGGCCTGGGAGCAAGCAGCAGCCAGTGGGGGGTAGGGTTACCATATTTTGTGCCTCCAAATGGAAGACACTCCACAGGGCCCCGGCCCCGCCCCCAGCCCCGCCCACGCCCCCTCCCCAAAGTCTCCGCCCCCTCCCCTGCTTCCCGCGAACATTTGATTCGCGGGAAGCCTGAAGCAGGTGAGGGGGAGTGTGGGGGGAGGAGGCGCGGCCCAGGCTGGCCCCCCGGCGGCTCCAGCCTGGGTCGGCTCGGGCCCTGGGGTGCCGGCCCCGGCCGACCACCCCCGGCCCACCCAGCACTGCCGGCCCCCGGCGGCCCGGCCCGG